TCGTTATTCCAGAAATTATTCTTAGTTCCGCGAATCACGTCATGCACGCATACAAGTCATTTATGTTTGATTTTTGTTTGCGATCATTCTATTATTTACAATTTTTGTTATTTACGGGTATTTCGATAAAAAAAAACAATAGGTCTTGTAAGCAAGTCTACATTTAGTATAAATTCCTGGTAATAAAATACAGTACTTACATGGTCCTGGATGGTAATAAATCCAACCGTAATAAATTATAACCTCGATAGCCGTTGCTAACTGTCTGAGTTGAAATGTATTCGGATAGGTTACATGTACCTAAGTTAAATGTTTGCAAATATTATGTTTAGCAATATAAATGAATAAATTGAACATTTTTATGAGCACTGAACTCGGGGCATTTGGTACTATATACGTAAACGTCATGGTTATTATTGTCAAGAAGACAAACTGATATTTTATTGACCCAAGCATTAATACCCGCAGCTGGTAGTTTTTTTATTAACTTCAAACAATCAAAGTTGCAAACTTTATCAGGCCATAATAAATCAAAGTCCGTTCAAATATTGTGACGGGAAATGGCTTTCGAGCACATTAGTAAGTGTGCTAATACATTCGTGTTTGTTTAATTTCACGTTATGACTTTTGTTTGTTCTATTTCTGTGTTCGATTTCACGTATAACGGTAAACGGTGGTTCTTATTTTACTATTTTTCAATATAATTATTCAACTGTGAACAACTGTATAATTATTTAACTGTGAATAACGGTAAGTTATTTCGTTTATTGGTTTGATTTCCCGTCTATGTTGTACATTTGAACGTGGTGTTTGCGTGACGATTATAAAATTTGGCATGATTATTTGTCGATACAATATACTTAACCTTATTTTGACCCACGCATATCAATATATATGGAGCACAATTCTGCAATAAATCTGTCGCTTTTTGATCGTCGATAGTGTGGGGATTGTTGCGCTTCTGTCTAGACCGGTATATGTGATCTGCAGGTCCAATTGTATTACAATTCTGCATCGGATACTAACATTATACACCTCTTGTCGAATAAATGGGGACGTGGGTAAAGGTCAATGGCCTAGCTCTCGTTAACTACCGATTATGATACATGGTTCTAGCACGTAGACCCAAACATGCAATTTACACTGCGCGTATAAACATACCACTCACTATGATTTGTAAATGTGGGATTGGAACCAACGACATATAATGTTGTTTGTCAAAGATTGTCGTATGAAGTTATTTTTGCTTAAGACTTGTACGTGACAGTATATTCCGTTATAATAATTCAACCACGAACAAATGTTAAGATGAAGTTGAAATGCAATTTGAGATGAAATATTTTACTTTGACCAAAGTCACGTATTGCAAATTAAACAAATTAGGCCTTTGTGGTTTACGTTAATAGTTTGTTATGGATTCTAAAGAAACGTGGCGGTGTGTGAATTACAATTAGGTAGGTAAACGAAGTGCATGATCTACGTCGGAATACTTAACAAGATTGTTTTCTGCTTCTAAACTTGGAAAAAAGACGCCATTTTCATTAAGAATGTTTGTTTAAACTTCTCGGTACGTCAAATTGGCAGACAATGGAAAATGGAATAGAATGGTAAATATAAATGTGTAATTATGTATTAATTCATTTGGTATTAAATTTCAAAATATACTCACTAGTGGGTTTCACAGCTAGAGAAAATTGTTATGCTTGTATGCGTCCAAAGTTGTGATTAAAAGCGTGCCCGCAACCCTCGATGTATAACCGCACTCTGATTACCTACACCAACAAAATGAAAATTACATCTTCTAAAGATCAAATCATGGTGTGGTATCTATGAACAAGTTTCGAAATGACAAACAGCGAGACCAACAGTATAATACCGAGTAAAATACCTACGTGTACCAGATGCAGTGATACGAAACGGTTTGTATCCACCCTCCGTCTCCTGCAACTACTAGTAATTCCCTCGATATTGACGTCATTCTCATATAATTTAAGAGCCGTTGTTCTACAAATCAAATCCCACCCACAAAATAAATGCCTGTGTACAAATTAGTTAGTACTTCGTGTTTCGTGACAACAAGAAACTTGCCCGATTTCAAGTTGTTAGTAAGATTGGCCATTAAGAACTCTTTATAAGGGTTGCGTTAGATTTGATTGGAACATTACCGAAATGGTAAGTAGCGAGATCAATACTATCACAGCAAGTAAAACACCAACACGTAACAAATGCAGTGATTCGAAGGTACGAATTCTACCGTCGCCCATTTCAAATAATTCCCTCGATGTTGACGTCTTTCTCGTCATATACTTAGATTTAAGAGCCGTTGTTCAGCAATTCAACCCCACAAAACCACCCACTCATCCAATAAAACCTGCATATAAATTACTCACCACTTCATGGGTTGTGGTTTGCGAATAAGGGAGTGACCATTATATAGACTGGAGGGGAGTAATAGAAGTTTGTTTCTATGATGATGTTGTTTTCCTATAGTATAAAATGTGTGTTATATAAAATTTGTTGATATTTGTTTGTACGTTTCTTGTCTGATATGTTTTCCAAAAAATTTTCTTTGAAATGCTCCCCCCCCCCTCCAAAAAAAATATGTCACCCCTCCATTCTATAATATTATTGAATCAGATCTCATCGGGCTTTATTTTCAACACATTTTTTTGTTTTTTATTCATTTCGGTTATTTTATTTTTTTAATTGTAATAATAATTACATAAAAAAACGAATAATTCAACGAATAAAAAAATGTAAAATAAGGATGAGAAGAAGGAAAGTTTAATAACTGATTTTAATCAAAATGTTCGATCTTCTAGCTTGCTGTCCTTCAGTCATAATCATATTCCTCTTGGTGGCGCACTTTGTTGTCACAGTGCGCCACCAAGCGATGACACTCATGCAACACACAACTGAACAGGAAGTAGTCGCGAATGAATACAAATATAACAATTTGTTTGATAGACTGCAAAGTAAACACCTCATTGTAATTGTATTGCATTTATTAACACTTTGCGACATGTTGTAGTATAGTACACAGTAGATTTTCAGAACATTATTAATAAACACGTTATAAATTGAGGGACTACGTTGTGTTTACATGCACGTGTACAATGTAGTAGGTGTGAATAGGTGATTGATTGAATCGATGCTCACATGTTATTATATTTCAGATGTCTGTTTACGATATGATTTGAAATATATAAGAAATGCAGAATAGCAGCTTGGTAGCCTTACTACTCGCTTTCTGGTCTTCTCTCTACCTGCTAGACGTCTTTCTCAAGGTAGGCATTAAGGCAGTCGGACAGTCATGCAATCTCGTGATAAAAATAAAATCATGTCTTTCGATGATTTGGACAATAACACAATACTGCTAGTTGCTGTTTTAGCAGCTCCGACAGGAAAATGTTGTACTGTGTACCTCATTTAAGATATAATACAAAATACCCCAATTGGATATGCTAACACTTTAGGTACGTTCATACGCATCATATTGTTTATCTCTGTGTTCATCAAAATCCACACGCTGTCTAGAATTATTGTAGACACTGTTTTTTGTTAAAACATTTATTTATAATATTTGGGTCATATATTATATTTTTTTTATTTGTTTTAGAATCACTTAATATCCATTTGAATATATTGAATGGATACAATGCACAAAAACAAAAAAACAAACATATCAAATACAGGCGACTCCAGACACTAATGGCACTTAGTTCCAAGTGGATCCACGAAGGTTAAAATGTCTTGAAGAAGCCGGAGTGAAATATCATAAAAACAAGATAAATAAAACTCCAAGCTAAAAACTACTATTAAAAAAACAGCACAACGTTTCGGATGGCAAAGCCTATCTATTATCAGGTGTAAAAATAAAGAAAAAGGAATGACTAAGCTAAATAAGCACAAAAGTTCACAACCACAACAAAATTGTGAAAGACTTACTTTTGTGTTGCCCACTCATACTACATAACCATAACTCAAAACCTCCTATGCTTCCCTAATTCAACTGTACAGTATTTTAATGCAGGAGGGTTGTCACCTGCGCACGCGCGGGAAATGAGTCCTAAGCAACAATTTATTAACTCATAACAACCTACTGAAGGAGGTTAAAGGTTACAACAACAACAAAAATTACAGATACAAATTAATCAAATTACAATGGCTAATAGTTTAAAAACAAAAACTCAATGAACACCTAATAGGTGTAAAAAAAAAAGAAGAAAAAGTCAATGACTAAGTAGGTGCTGCTGTCTAATAGCAAAGCTGTATTTCAGATATTGTGCCAGAGGAATTGCTAAGTTATTATTTGACATTATTTTTATGAATTTATTTTCAGGTGTGAGATTAGTAAAGTCAGGAATAATCTTTTCAGCTTCATTGTATAAAATGTCCCTCTCTTTACTATATACTGGGCATATTATGAGGAAGTGATGTTCATCTTGAATATCATTTTTATTACACAATTTGCAGATTCTGTCGCTACTTTTGATTTTGTTGTGTCTTCCTTTTTCAATTTCTAAACTGTGATTGCTCAGTCTGAATTTAGTTAGGGTACTTTTCAGTTCTTTATTTTTTAGCTTAATTAAGTAGTTTTCCAAAATGAAGTTTGTTTTAAATTTTTTGTA